GTCTTTGCTTATTGGTTGGAAATGAAGTTGCAGTTAATAGGGACCAAGACTTGTTGCTGTTGAATTGCCCCCTGTGCCTACCACCCTTCCCTGATACCGTTAAGAGAAAACCAGCTATTGCTGCTAGCACCTTCAGGTGACCATTGGAACACTCCAGTGCCTAATTTGTGAAGCTCTAGAGAAAATGATGCTTGGATGCAATATGGCTCTGCATCCCAGTGCTGGCACACTGAAAGGCTCTGGATTCATTTCCAAGAGCTCTCAGCTCATCTCTCCTCACTTCCACGACCCTTCCCTGTCTGTTGTCGCAGTAAGGACACAAACACAAGCAGTGGAGCCTCAAAGGTCTCCTGGTTCAGGCAGTGCTTCATCTGCGACGTGTTTGCTTCCAGCTCCCTCTTCCAAAGGTAGAAGCGTTGTGCAAGAGCACGCTCAGCGCTTAAATGGAGACTTCCCAGCTTTCCTCTTCTCTGGAAATACTTAGCTATCAGCCAGCTAAGGGCAGCAGGAACTTGTTTCCAGTATGATGGGTTTTTTTCCAACTCCTCGTAATAACATCTTTAGCTGTATGTAATTACCTCCGAAGTGATAGGTTTGTAATTACCCAGCAGAAGCCTGCGAAAAGCATTGCGTTAGCCTTTATCTCAGCAACTTTATTAACAAAGATGTTCTGGGCTGTTTTGGGATATGCTGAAACGTCTGCAGTGGTGCTCGAGCTGTGCAGAGCCCTGGGGGCTCTGCCTTGCCCCCACTGTGTCCCCAACAGCAGGACTTGGAGGAGGTGGCTCCAGTTGCTGGTTTGCTGATGTCTTCTGCTTCAGAGGTTCATATGGGACAACTGAAGTCCACCCTTTGGGCTTTGCCCCAAACTGTTGCCTTCTCTTGTCTGTCCATAGGTGGTGTTGGGGGGGGTGGGAAGGAGGAAGCCTGTGGTTAATTTGTGGAGGTTGTGGTGTGTAGGAAGGACTCATAAACTAACCATGTGATGTGAAACCCTTGTATATCTCTGGAAATCAGTACTTCAGGCTTCCACTGTTTGAATGTGGTGAAGCCATCAGAAACTCGGTGTGTGTAACGTGCATACACTAAGAACACTCTTGAGGAAATGTGGGGTTTAGCTCATGGTTCCCTCAATGGGGGAATAAACTTAGCTGCTCTTCTCTATGTTTTTCGGTGTGCAGCTCACATTGGTTTGTCTTTGTTATCCCTCTGACTGGGAAAGCAGTTGGTTTGGTCAAATGGAGATGACTCAGTGCTGGAATCATGTGTTGGAGCCTTCCTCAAAAGTTTGGAGACAAAATCCCTGGGGATCAGACCCTGAATTGCCATTAGAGCTTGATGCTGTTTGAGTTAAATCTGCCCTGATTTTGCTCCCTGCAGCCTGTGATTTGTGGGCAGACAGTGTTCCCCTTAGAGCTTGTGGCTCCTGAAGCTGGACATGATGCTGGGAGGCACGGCACACCCCTGGTGCTGTAGTGTTACTCATGAGCAACACCCTGCAGCGCAGAAACAGGATTATTTCACTTTACATCTTGGCTTCTTGGGATTTGCTGGAGGTTGCTCTTGGTCAGCTACCGTTGTTCACACGGTTTGAGCTTGTTTCCCACTCGTTGTGTTTCACGCCATGCCCTCACCTGCCTTTGGGTCCATGGCTTGTTCCAGGGTGAGATGAGAAGTGCCTTTTAGGTCCAGCTAATGACCCCTGTATTACCTGGCAGCGTTGGTGACTTAGTGTGCTGTGGTGGAAATGCCGTCTTGTTGCCATCTGGGAATGATAAGACGTGGAATAACAAGGTGGGGGGTAACCAGGTTAATAAACATGAAGGTGATTGGGGAACAAGGAAGCAAAGCCAAGCTGGTTAAATAATTTATTTGGTAATTTATTTCCCCCCATGTCATTTAGGCACTAATAGAGGAAGAATGGTTCATTGACTGGGGCACTGCTCTGCTTTGGACAAGGAGTTTGTGGTGCTCTCTGCCATGGCTGCCTTGCATAAATCTGGGCAATTAATTTCATCTCTTTATGCTCCTTCTGTTTTGAGGCTAATTATAATAAATTCAGTCACTTGTATATCTCGTGGGGAGGGGAATACGTTGTTGCACTCAAAGTTGAATACTCTTCATAATAAGAATCAATATATATCAATACATAACGGGAGTAGTGCTCACTGCAGTGAAAAGGCTCAGTTTAAATAGGTGTTTCAAATAATGATACTTCCAATGTTTCAAGCATTAACTAACCTCTATTTTGCTCCTGGGCCGGCAGTGTGGGGGACAGGCAGCGTGGCTTTCAGTTAGCAAAAGAGAAAGTGAGCACAAGCTATATTGTGTTATCACAGAAGGTTGTAATGAGCATTAATAGCTCTAATTTATAAACAGACATAACAAGTTTAACACATGCTTTTACCAGAATGATTCTCCTTTAGGAATGTGCTCTTTATCTTCTCTGTTTATTGATGTCTTCCAATCAAGCCTGGGATTGTTTTTGTGTTGCTGGGCTTGGTGCAGGCATTGTGGGATCATAGAATCATCAGAGAACCAGACTGGTTTGTGTTGAAGGGACCTTAAAGCCTCCAACCCTGCCACAGGCAGGGACCCCTTCCACTGGAGCAGCTTGCTCCAAGCCCCTGTGTCCAACCTGGCCTTGAGCACTGCCAGGGATGGGGCAGCCACAGCTTCTCTGGGCACCCTGTGCCAGCGCCTCAGCACCCTCACAGGGAAGAGCTTATGTTAACCTGCTGTCACATGAAGACATGAAGAGATGCTGAGACAGAACGAATGTACCCTCTGGTTGAGGGAACACCACGTTGAAAGGAAACTTGTCCCAGAAACCACAGAACTCATCTAAAGATTTGGAGTCTGTGGCCACCACAGTCCCTGTAAGGTCCCAAAGCTTTCCAAACACCCGCACTCTGCATCCTCACAAACTGGCCATGCACTGCAGGGTACCGCAGGGTTTCTGGCTCTGCTGGAGCCCTGCAGGCAACTGAGGGGCTCAGAGGGGAAAATGCAGTTGTGAATTGGAAAGCAAATTAAGCCCTTTCGCACTAAATTCTATCAGGCCACGTTCTGGTATTTGTACTCCTTTTGTTGCTGCATGTTGGTTATGTAAAATTATTCCCTTCCTTACTCTTTAATTTTAACCCATCTGCTGCTTTTTGTCTTTCTTTCAGGTCCTGGAATCGTGAGAACTTCCAATGACTTGGCAAATCTCTCTGAATCACTGATGTTCTGCTGCCATCTCCACCCATGCCTGTCCCTTGCTTGCTCCCTCGCCGGGTGTCAGTTCGCCAGCCTACGTGCTGAGAAGAAAAGTTAAAAAGGTAAAAGTCTGTAATCTGATTCCACAGTGACCTGTCTAATCCTGTTCCCTGGTACAGCGAGCTGAAATACTTGTACTGCAAAACAATGACTTGAGGAGACTAGAGAAGGGAGATGAGAATCTGCAGGGATTTAGTTTTATTCCTTCTCCCCTTGTTTCATCTTCTGTTGTCCTCTGACCAAAAGCTGTCAGCTGGAAAGCAAAGAAGAGTGTGGGGCTGGGTTCATGGGTAGCAATGCATTGGGTCCCTCTTTGTAAGAGGGTAAGGGTATGGTTTCAGGCTGCTCAGACTAAATCTGAGTGGCAGTGGCTTCACTGAGTAGTCCTGGAAGTGAACAGCTGAGATGCGATGAGTAAATCACTGCAGCTCCATAAAGAACTGTGTGTATATTATGTTCTTACCTGTGGAGCTCCCTACATTGGGCTGGAAATGAGGGGTTTGATGTGTGGTTGGACTGTGTTGGGAGAGGCTGAGCTTTCCAGCTTTGAGTCCCAGCCTGATGCTGCTCTTGTAAGGCCAGGGCGCATCTGATGGCGTTTCCTTCCCCTTGTGTTGGATTTAAGAGCTGAGCCCAGGCTCTCAGGGCAAGGGGTTGTGGTGCTTTCCCTTATTCCTTTTGCTGTGTGTTTATGTTTGTGCAAAATCCTTCATGGACCTTTTGGGTGTATGGATTTTTTCCTCTAGCTTCTTATTGAGAAGAAACTTCCCTGGACTGAGCCTTGGTGCAGGCTGCACTGAGCTTCCCTGCCTCTGGGAAAGGGGGTTTTGGAAAAGCAGCTTCTTCAGGTTTGCCTCAGTGGGTTCTGCGCTGTCAGAAGTACACCACAGTGTGTGAGCTGTGTGAGGTCGGGGTTCCGGGGGTTATGGTTTGAGTTCGCTGCTGTATAGAGAGGTGTTCTCATGAACCGCTTTGTCCTGCCTCCAATAGCATTTCCTCCTGTTGGGGCTCTGCTTTTCCCTTTACCGACCCTTCCAGTTTGCTGTTACATGGAGTTGATTACCAAATGTTGCAGAGCAACTTCCAGCTGGGAACCTCAGTGTTCCTTGAACTTCATTATTTCCTTCCTTATTTTTTTAGGCATAACACCCTCCAATGCATCTGATATTGCCAACGCTGCTGATGTAAGGGCCGCAGTGTAGAGAGGGGAGGTTTGGAGAGGTGTGAAACTAGCCCAGGGTCAACTACAGCAGTGCTAGTGATGTGTGCTGAGGTGATCAGTGTTCTCCTGCAGAAGAGGCCACTCTGCAGAAGGCTGTTGTGGTTTGGAGGGGTGGTTTGGGGTTAAGAAGCTTGGACTGGAGTGAAGCTCTCTTGTGTCAAAGCTGCATCCAGCAGAAAGCACTTCTCATGGAATTCATGCAACCAGGGCTCTGTAATGGAAAATCTGCCCCACCTTAAATGCTATCGTATTACTCATGAGCACAAGGCTGGTAATTAACCGAGCTAAAAACCAGATTTATTGCATGTCACTTATCACCTAACAACTTGGCGTATCTGAGAGATGCATCAGAGGCCGGATGTGCTGGTTTCCCACCTGGGGTAAGAGAGGTCACTTGCCTTGCCACCAGGGGAGATTCAATGCATCTTGCCATGTTTAAATATAAGCCTGCTCACATAGAGTTTAACACCTCTGGGCTGTGAGGTTGTGAAGTGAAATCCTCTGCTCTAATAGGGTGGAAATACCTGGTAGTTGCATCACAGTGTTTTGTGTCACGGTGGAACCTTCTAGCATCTCCTGATTGCTTCTGACATCAGAAATGTTCTCAGGCTTCACCCCTCCACCCTCATCCAGAGCAGCTCTGTGCCAGCGCTGTGCTGGATCCGAGCTCTTCGTTGCAGTCCTGCAGGGAAGGCTGTGGGAACCGAGGCGATGTGCTGATTCAGCTGCTCAAGAAGGCGATGTGAAGGCACCTCGCGTATGTGAGGCAGACAGGTTATGGGATTACAACACCTGGCCTTAAACTGGCAAATCACCCACAGCTTCAACTTGCAGCTCAAATCTTGTTCTTCAGTTTAGTCGCTGCCCTTAAATCTCCTAGTCCAGGACATGGCTTATTTCCATCTTATTCTGGGGGCTGTTGCAGAGCTCAGGTGCTGCTGAAGCACCACATCTTATGTGTGTTCAGACACTGACAGTGTTGCAGGAAGTGTGAACTCTGTGTGTCTGCAAACTTGATCCTTTACAAAGTAAGGGGAAATTAAGCATTTGGAATCCAGTAGAGCACATCACTTTGTGGTGCAGACTAGGAAAATGATGTCTATAGTTCAGGTTTTTGAGGTACCCATGTGCAGAAAAGTTCCAGTGAACATGGGTTTGGTTTTTCCCTTTTCCGTACCTGAAATAACTCATCTGAGTTTGCTCAGGCTGGTAAAAAGTGGAGATGTGACATCTAAACTAACCTGACATCTTTGCTCTGAGACCTCCATGCAGCAGAAGACCCCAAATGCCAGGGAGAAGGCTTAGGAATGTGATGTAAATGGGCTGCTTCTGAGGGTAGAAGATGGTGATTTTATGTCTGCAATAGTGTGGCCAGCAAGACAAGGGCAGTGATTGTCCCCTGGGCTTGTTCCTGGTGAGGCTGCACCTTAAATACTGGGTTCTGGTTTGGACTCTTCACTGCAAGAAAGACATTGAGATGCTGGAGGGTGTCCAGAGGGCAAGTTCTGTGAGGACCAGCTGAGGAAACTGGGGGTGTTCAGCCTGGAGAAAAGGATGCTTGGGGAAGACCTTATTGCTCTTTACTGCAAGGAGGTTGCAGCGTGATGTGGGTCAGTCTCTTCCCATGTTCAAGCAATAGGATGGGACACAATGGCCTTAAGTTGCAGCAGGGAAGGTTTAGTTTGGATATTGGGGAAAATTTCTTCACCAAAAGGGTTGTCAAGGACTTTAACAGATGTGAGATGTGGCACTTGGGGACATGGTTTAGTGGTGGGCTGGGCAGTGCTGCATTAACAATTGGACCTGATCATCTTAAAGGCCTTTCCAGCCAAGATCTTTGTAAAACCCAGGGCTTCTTGAGCAGGGGCTGCTCAATGGAAAGTGTGTGATGTGGTAATCTCAAGAGCTTTGTCCATCCTTACTTAGAAGTGGCTTTAGCTTGCAGGTGATGCTGCTGCAGGGATGCAGTGGAATTGAGCAGGCACTGAGCTTGGAGGGAGCCACAAGTTCAGCTGGTTGCTGGCCTCACCTTTCTGACCAGGAAATCTGCTTGTCTGTGAGATAATCTCCTGATTGCACAGACCTGCCAAGGAGAGGTACCAGCAGAGGTGGGACAGGTCGATGCTTGGGCCAGCCCAGCCTCTGCTCGGATGGCTCTGAAGCTCCTTCTCTATTTCACAACATTGTGCTGAACTTCCCTGATGCCAACCCCAGGCTGAAGGGGCCAGCTGGGAAGGGAAGGCTCTTTGCTTTAAGTAGATAATTGGTTTTCAGTTTGAGGTGTGGTTTTCTCAATGAGGGCTGTGGTGGATGGTTCCCACGTGGAGACAGGATCCCACACCTTCATTTCCTGCTCGGTAGCAGGAAGCAGCACAAAGCCCTCAGAGCAGTGTCTCCTGGGTGTCAACGAGAGGTTCCCTATTGTCTGCTGTGGGAACGACTGATGCCCTCGGGCCCTGCAGGTTCTCCTGCTCCTGCCTTCCAGAACAAGCCTGGAAACAGGGCTGGGAACTGAGCAAGCAAGAGGGGAACTGAGCAAGCAAGAGGTGCTCCTCCCTGCTGTCCATCCATCCTGCCTGGCCTCGGCACGCAGATGCAGCCTCCTTTTCTTCCAAGTCAGTCCTGTTCCCATAAGCCAAAGTTAAGAGTGTTCTGTCTCTGGTAGGAGCTTGGTTCTTCTCCCTGATGGATGTTGGCCAGGCAATGCCCTGGGAGAGGTGCCTTGAGGCCCCTCGTTGTGCATTGGCCCCTCTCTGTGATGGGGCTTTCTCAGTGGGAACTTGTTCCACATCTGCCTTTTCCTCAGTCACTTCCTCTACCAAGGTCCCCAGAGCATTCCCCATAGATACTGCCCATGAGGTCCCGGATGCTGTGGATGTCTTTGGGTGTAACACTAAGATACTTTGGTATTCCTGCTTGAGAACCCCTGAAAGCTGCTGCGGGTGCTGAGTTGTTTCGATGTCCATTTACGTTGTGTTATCCCTGAAGCACTGGGACTCTGCACTCTGTACAGAGCTGCCCTTTGAGAAGGTCATGGTGCCAGCAGTGTTTTCTTGGGGTGCAGCACAAGTGCTTTGTGCAGACAGAGGCACAGAGCCTGCTGCACTTGAGGATTTGGTGTTTCAGTGGGGATCCACTGCGCTGACTCGAAGCCTGCATCTTTCCCCTCTCTTGAGCTGCCTTTGCCGTGTGCTGTGGAGGGGAGGTTGCCGTTCCCATCAGAGATTTATGTGGGGATGCTGCCTGAAATCATACCTAATTAAATCCCAGTTCTTGCTCCATCAGGTTCCTCTGAAGACACTTCTCCCTTGGCACCTTCCACCCAGGGCACCTCCAGTTCTGCTCCCCAGATGTTTGCTCTGCTCTGTGGCGGCTTCTCCTCATTCTTTTTTCCTTTTGGCAGACTGTAAATCATGTTTTACTTTCTTCAAACATATGGGGGAGATCCCGACAAGGCTGATGACAGAGAAGGGTGCCTGACATTTCCCTGTACAGAAAGCAGCCCTGTGCAGTGCAAAGCACTGAAGCGGTGCAGCTACTTTCTTGTGGGATTATGTGGGACAGTAAATCAGTAAATCTTGCTCTCATCTGGCACAGTCTGTGAGGCTGCGGCGTGGGGGAGAGGCCACATCTGCCTCTGGGCTGGGGGGTTGAGAGGAAGGGAGATGCTGTTGGTGCTGGTCCCGATGCTGCTGTCAAGGCTGTGCCATCCTCTTGTTGCCCATGCCAGGTCCCCTGAGAAGGGACAGCGCTTTGGTTGACCTGCAGGAAAGTGCTGTCAAGGATGGGGTTGCCAGATGTGATTTCACTTGCTTGAGTGAGTCCAGAGGAGGCCACGGAGATGCTGCGAGGGCTGGAGCAGCTCTGCTCTGGAGCCAGGCTGAGAGAGCTGGGCTGGGGCAGCCTGGAGAAGAGAAGGCTCCTGAAGGGGAGACCTTAGAGCAGCTCCAGTGCCTAAAGGGGCTGCAGGAAACCTGGAGAGGGGCTTGGGACAAGGGATGTAGGGACAGGCCAAGGGGAATGGCTTGAACCTGCCCGAGGGGAGACTGAGCTGAGCTCTTAGGCAGAAGCTCTTCCCTGTGAGGGTGCTGAGGCGCTGGCACAGGGTGCCCAGAGAAGCTGTGGCTGCCCCATCCCTGGCAGTGCTCAAGGCCAGGTTGGACACAGGGGCTTGGAGCAAGCTGCTCCAGTGGAAGGGGTCCCTGCCCGTGGCAGGGGTTGGAGCTAGAGGAGCTTTAAGGTCCCTTCCAACACAAACGAGGCTGGGATTCAGTGTGCTCTGGGGAGGGGATACAGTGCTCTGCAGGATGTTGGCAGATGCCGATTGCAGGTGGGAGCGAGGGTCACGACGGGTGGATGTTGATTAAAGCAGTGCAAAGAAAGGGAAATACTGTTGATATGTATGGGTTTTTACAAGCTGTGTTTGTGTCCATCTCTATGCCAGGCTGCGCTCACCTGCTGCAGCTGCCAGCAGTGCCCTGCCACTCCGGTCATGCTTTGTCCTGCACTGCCCCACATACACCAGTTTTATCCCATTCCCCTCCACTGTAGGAGGCAAACATGGGCATTCCCCTCTGCCCATCCTCCTCCTTAAAGAGTGGTGGTCCCTGCTTGGAAGCAAGGAAGGATGTGGTTCATGTGGCGCCTGTACTGCTGTGGCTGTGCCCGTTGATCCCGTGGCGCTGGAAGCGGGACAGTAGGCAATTCCCATCCCCCTGGCCCTGCCGCTCCCCCTTCTCCCCCGCAGCCCTGCCTTGCCCTTTTGTGGAGATTTATAGAGCCGAGTGGGCTGAGAACAAATGAGCAGACATTAAGGCGATGTGTTCTGCATACTAATGACAAGATACTGCTTCTGCACCTCGGGGCAATACTGGGTCAGGCCAGTTGAGCTGTAAACTTTATTTATGTGCTTATTACAGCCAAGCTGCGCTTTGCTGGCCCGGGCCGAGGGCTTAGGGACCTGTCCGGCAGTAAATCCTGTTTGTTTATTTGAAATAAGATGTCTCCTTCCCCCTGACCCTTCCTCTCTTTTCTTCTTGGGGTGGGGGGGGAGAAATCCCCCTTGTTTGCCCTCACAGGTTTGTGGCGGAGCAGGGAAGGAGGGATGGAGAGTGAGGAAGGAGAGAGGATGATGAAGCTTTGTGGGGAACAGTTGGGTTTATTTAAGGCTCACTGGTGTGAGGAGGGGTTTATCCTCCTTTATAGGTAGCAGTGGGCAGAGGAGAGGAAGGGTCTTTTTATCAAAGCTTTGGGAGACCCTGTCCATCCCTGTCTCTGCCACTGAACCCTGTAGGCAGGCACGGTCAAGTCCCTTTGCTTCCAGCCTCATCCGGTACCGAGGGCTCAGACACCCTTTTTTGCCCGTCTCGTTCTCACCAGGGATGGGTTTGCTGTGCTGCTTTGGTAGGAGCTGTGAGGAGGGAGGTTTGGTTTGGCTGAGGACTCGCTCTGTACTCCCAAGATCAGTGGAGAGATGGGCGGTGATTTATGCCCACAGCAAAGATGTTCTAAAACATCCTATTTTTAT